GTGCCATGGCGGATTTGCTATTTACACGGCAGAATTTGCAAGCGCAAAGACAGAACGCGTCTACGAGAGGAAACGGAGCTGCTCGTGCGCGAGCAAATAGGTAGCTTAATTCTGATACATGCAATTACTATCCATTATGACATCTAGGCATTTTTATATTTATGTAGCCTACACAATAATATTCTTTTACATTGTAATCCTTTAATTGTTAATATTTGGCATGTTTGTGTGCTGCTGTGCGTCCCTGTGTGTGTAATAAGCAGAGTGTACGCGCGCTGTGGACCTGCTTATACTAACGCGCTCTTTAAATAACAAAAAAACTACTGCGCCATTGACTTTAGACCAGGTTTTAGTTGGTTAATGGCGCAGTCTATTGCAGTTGCCTCAAAATAGCAACGCACCAACAATGCGCCTAAACACACCTCGTTTTCAGACCAGCACGCCCATGGGCAAAAATGCATTTGCTATTTAAACAACGTGGCGCAGGGCGTGAAAATGATAACTGCGTCGGGCTGAAACTAGCAAAAAACACTTACGTCGCGCCTGGCGCCGCATTGCACCAGTGTTTGTTAGGGCCCATGATGTTTATACTGTTTAGAAAATACATAAGATTGGTATCTGTTTTTATGTGTTACCTGTCGTTAAAGAACATTGTTTCTCCCTTAAAAGTCGTCACTGCATCCCAGACCAGGTTCCGACAATCTGGTTCTGAATCAGTTAGACCTGATGTGATTACCACATAGTAAACAAACAATTCAATATTTTTGACTCAAAAATGATAGATATTCTCTTGATGATCATAATACCATAGATCGACTGAATCCGTTTGATGTCATCACTTGACAGAGAGAAACGATCCGGATCAGTAAAGCTGTATGTGGGAAACATCAGAGCACCACGAACATCAGAATGAGAAAGACCCAAAGAGTGACCAAACTCATGTGCAGCCACCAAGAACAGGACAGGACCTGTGGAGAAATTAAGCAGAATAGTTTAGGTACAAAATCTGTGTTAATAACATTTTTTTCACCGACGATAACGAGACGATAACTAACTAAAACTCTTTTTGAATGACAAAAACTATGACGTAATCTATTGACATTTTCGTCAACGAATAAAAACGAGACTAAATGTTACTGACTAAATGTTAATGAGACTAAACAAAATTTTAGGGAGGGACGATTTGGGAAGACATTCATTCAGAACGAAACTGCTACGTGGTTCGGAGGTTAGATGCGTAATTGCGTACATATGAACCGGCGGGACATAAGCTAACATACACTTGCTGCACGTCGCATAAAACATTCAAAAATGTCAGTATGTGGGAGTAAGAGAAAAGCAGACATATGGATAAATCTGACGACGCAAGAGAGAGCTCAATTCCATCCGATTTTCAGAGCAGACACTGAAGCATACACATACAGAAATCGCGTCTCACAGCGCGCAAGTACTCTCTCGAGTCGCATGAACGGAGAATTACACACAAAATGATGTCGAATTTTCCGTTTTGACGAGTATCCACGTAAGCACAGTTGATTACGTCTTAAGTGAACGTAAACAGTAGGGAGAACGTGTATCAGTACATTGCATCCATTGCAGCTGTGCATTCGGTTTTAAAGGGGTCATATGATGCGATTTCAAGTTTTCCTTTCTCTTTTGAGTGTTACAAGCTCTTGGTGCATAAAGAAGATCTGTAAAGTTGCAAAGACTAAAGTCTCAAATCCAAAGAGATATTCTTTATAAAAGTTAAGAGTCAACCACGCCTACCTAAAACGCCTCGTTCTAACACGCCCCCACTATGACTAAAACTAAATGGCATTTTAGTCAAAACACTATGACTAAAACTAAATCAAAATTTGCTGTCAAAATTAACACAAATTAAAAAGATCAATTGCTGCTTTAGATGTTTACTTGAAATCAAAGTGGTCAAAGTTGAAACTTTGAAAAATATTACAGCCAAAAAAAAGAGAGAGAAAGAAAGAAAGAAAGAAAGAGAAAGATCACCTTTTGATGAGCCCAAGGTAAAAAGCTCATCATCATCGAAATGTGCATCTCCACCGATTCCAGGAGAAGGAGAAGGAGCAAAAGCATGAGCCAAAGTGCCTTGTGGTCCATCAAATGGCTGAGCATCGCCATGATCTGTGGGAAAGAGTTTAGTTTTACATATAGTGGTTTTACATTGATTTTTTTTTTTTTCAAATAATATATTTCCATTAATAGCTGTTCTATTAAAATAAAGAGTATATGACAGTCCTATAAATTCTGTTTAGAAATAAATCAAAGGATCTTGTGCTTTACTTTAAAAAAAAAAACTGGTTAGTTACAATTAGGAACACAACAATTCACTAATTTGAATCGAATCGGAACTCAGTCAATTGAATTTACTTGCTTTTTTATATCGCCGTATTTTAAAAATACTGAATTGTTGTGCAATGAATTGAGTTGAACGGTTATGAATCTACTCGGGACTTGCTTTTAACATGTATATTGCCAAAATACCAAGTTTAAATTTAGTTCAAAAGAATTCATCAAAATGAAAAGCACATGGTTGTTAAAATAGGAATATAGATAAATTGATAGATGTATCTTACCCCTTGTAGCAAAGGAGATCATGATGTCAGCTGTGCCGTTGTTGATACGAGTGAATCTCAGAGGAGTGACTTTGGCCCAGACCTGCAGGGCTTTCTTTATGGATTTATCCACTTCAGCATTTGACATGTCAGGGGTATAGTTCACGATTCTGTGAAAAAGGACCATAATCTGTATCTGCTTCTTTCACTCTTTCTTTTTCCAGTCATGCAAAGAGAACTGCTATTACACACACCTGTAGGTGAGCTTGTTTTTCTGCCATTTGGGTTTGCCTCCAAATGTGGAGTACGCAGCAACATCTGGAACTCCACAGCGGGGCTTCTTCATCACCTCCAGTGTTTTTTTGTCCAGCTTTCCAGTGACCTTAAGCCTGAAAAACTTCTGCATCTCTTTCAATGTATCGGGTAGTGGATCTGGCTGCCGGGCTGTGGAATCAGGAGGCTTATATACCAGATTGTAGAAGCTCATCAAATATTCCTAAAAATAAAAAACAAGGATTATTATATTAACCAGTGAATATGACCAAAACAGTAAACAACTATATATATATATATAAAACAAACCTTTGCGATATTATAATCGTCAACGGGCTTTAAAGTCGGTGCAGCGTGAATAGCAAGCACCAAGCTCGCAAGAAAACACAGCTGGCGGCGAATCCCCATGTTGAGAGTTTCTTCTTCTGCTCGTGTGCTTCGCTTCTGATTGACAAAGGTCTGATGACGACTTATATACTCTTAAAACTGTGAGGTGTTGAGCAACAGGTGAAATTAAACCATCAAACTGACAGGCAAGGCAATTATAACAGGATTTTCAGCTTGACGCAGCCTCTTCCTCCTCGCCCAGGTATTAATATTATTTCTCTTTCTCATACCTTTATTTAACGGCAACATTTTTTTTAGCATTTCTGTGTTTTATCAACACAAACAAGAGCAAACTTTTGTTTATGTTTTTAAATGTTATGATTAAAAAAAACTGTATAACATTACAAGCATTACCAGGGGTATAAAATATTTAGTTAGTACAAATGAGACTTGATTACTGTACTTAAGTATTATTTTGGGGGATTTGTACTTTACTCAAGTTAAGTACTATTTATAATGACTTCTTGTACCTTTGCTTGATTACATTTCTGAAGAAAAAATTGTACTTTTTACTTTTTACAGTTTTGTGGTAACTTGTAAAGTACTCATTACATTTTTGCATTTTATTTTTCTTCTGCAAATGCATTTGCAGTTTCAGCTTCAGTTATAACTTTCATCATGGAAATTTCTGGCTTCAAAAGTAGTCATCAAATCTGAGGAGGAATACTGAGAGAGCAAAGTTGCTTTTTTCCCCAAAAAGTTTCTGCTTGGCTGTGGGATTAGGAGGCTTATATACCAGATTGTAGAAGCTCATCAAATATTCCTAAAAATAAAAAACAAGGATTATTATATTAACCAGTGAATATGACCAAAACAGTAAACAACTATGTATATATATATAAAACAAACCTTTGCGATATTATAATCGTCAGCGGGCTTTAAAGTCGGTGCAGCGTGAATAGCAAGCACCAAGCTCGCAAGAAAACACAGCTAGCGGCGAATCCCCATGTTGAGAGTTGCTTCTTCTGCTCGTGTGCTTCGCTTCTGATTGACAAAGGTCTGATGACGACTTATATACTCTTAAAACTGTGAGGTGTTGAGCAACAGGTGAAATTAAACCATCAAACTGACAGGCAAGGCAATTATAACAGGATTTTCAGCTTGACGCAGCCTCTTCCTCCTCGCCCAGGTATTAATGTTATTTCTCTTTCTCATACCTTTATTTAATGGCAACATTTTTTTTAGCATTTCTGTGTTTTATCAACACAAACAAGAGCAAACTTTTGTTTATGTTTTTAAATGGTATGATTAAAAAAAACTGTATAACATTACAAGCATTACCAGGGGTACAAAATATTTAGTTAGTACAAATGAGACTTGATTACTGTACTTAAGTATTATTTTGGGGATTTGTACTTTACTCAAGTTAAGTACTATTTATAATGACTTCTTGTACCTTTACTTGATTACATTTCTGAAGAAAAAATAGTACTTTTTACAGTTTTATGGTAACTTGTAAAGTACTCATTACATTTTTGCATTTTATTTTTCTTCTGCAAATGCATTTGCAGTTTCAGCTTCAGTTATAACTTTCATCATGGAAATTTCTGGCTTCAAAAGTAGCCATCAAATCTGAGGAGGAATACTGAGAGAGCAAAGTTGCTTTTTTCCCAAAAAAGTTTATTGATTATTTTTGTCCAAATCGAATGAACATTATATGTTAAATTAATCATAAATCAAGTTTAGTGATGGGTCTTAGAAGGAATTGGATAAATGGCATTATAATGATTTATTGATATTACATGATAAGCTGGTGTGTGGTGGGCGTTCTGGCGCACTATGGCTGCCGTCGCATCATCCAGGTGGATGCTGCACACTGGTGGTGGATGAGGAGATACCCCCTGACAATGTAAAGCGCTTTGCCTACCTAGAAAAGCGCTATATAAATGTAATGAATTATTATTATTATTATTATTATTATATGAAATGCTGAAACATCCAAAGAAGATAGCAACACTTAAAAGACCTCCTCTCACATCCTGAAATAGAAAAATTGTATCTTTATTTACTTATAAAATGGTAAATGTTGCCGTTTTTAGGGTTAGGATTTCCGTTAAGAGTTTGGTTGCACTAATTGCTATTTGCTTGTTTGTGTAAAGAGAGTGAGGTGTGTTTGAGGTGTTATGTAAGATCTGCAGGTAACGCCAGCTGTCTTCACTCTTTATAGTCAGAGGAATGAGTAATACTTTATAATGAATACACCAATGACTGAGACTTTAAAAAATGCATAAGCACTATAAAACTATTGTGAAAGTGGTCCATATGACTTTTAAGCACTTCTGACAATGCCAGTTAGGCAGGGACTCAGATGAGTCAGGAGGACAGCAAAGAGGAGATTCCGGATTTGGGTGACATAGATATATGGAGAATGGGAACATCTTAAACTGTCATTAACGTGCCATCGCCCTTGAAAAACAGTTGATGTGTCCAAGTAGTGATAACTGCAGGCTGGAGCAGTGAGCGTGGCGGAAGATTAGGGCATGGGGCGTGGATAAAGGTCTTTCTCATTGGTTAGGTTTAGGGTTAGGTGTTAGTTCTGTATAGCGCACCTTTTGCCATGCTTCCCCTCTCGATGTGTCCTTTGTTTTTGATATCTTTTCTCATACACAGGACTTTTTTTCTGTGTAGGTGGAAAGTAAATGTTTGAAGGAAATGTTAAAATAACTATTATATTATACTATCATTAAATTATTGCCTAAGTTTATCATAGCACCTATACACATTTATTGTATCTATCACTATAATAATCATGTATTTTTTTTCTTTTTTTGTATGTGCCTTTGATTCTTTCCTTTGTATAAGTTATTTTGTCATATTGTGTTTACATAAAAACAACATTTAAAAACAAAAAATAAAAGGAAATATTTCTTACCTCGAATATGTGGGTATTTAAGAAAAGATTATATGTACTAAAATTACATCTACACCAAAATATTTTCTATTATCATTAAATATTTAAATATTTTTAGTAGTAGTAATATTTTAAATAGGTGTTATATATTTAATAATAATATAATACAATATATAGGGATGCACCGATACCGATACTGGTATCGGCAAGTACCAAAAATAAAAGTATCGGTATCGGGCGAGTACTGGAAAAAGTGGTATCGGTGCATCCCTAAATATATATAGTAAAAAAAAATACATCTATTAAAAACTTAGACCAAATATTTATATTATTAAAAATGGTATTATTATTATTATTATTATATACAAACATCAACATGATTACAAATTATAATCACAAATTATTTTATTTTTTTACCTGGTTTTTATTTTCTGTAATTTAGCATAATTTTTCACACAGACTTGAAACTGTCACACCCCTGTGGACGGTTGATTGTGGTTTCTCCCTCTGTGTCCTTATTTGGTTGTTCCTGTTCTAATCATTAGTTAATTACCCTCATTGTGCTCACCTGTCTGCCACCAATTATCCACCCTATATTAGTTCCTGTCTGTCTGAGCTTAGTTTGTCGGTTATTGTGAATGTTACCCTGTGTGTTGATGTCTACCCTGTCTGGATCTCCTGTTGTCATATCATTAAATATCCTATATTCGTCATCTTCGTCATCCTGCCTGGTCTCTGGAACACCCTGCCCATGACAGAATAACCGACCCAAAAACAGTTTAACTTCCGTGTTCTCCCCTCCGTTTGTTTTCTGGTTTTTCCTCAGTGTTTTTCTTTCCGTTGTGTTTTCCCCATGGATCCCTTCACGCGCCCCGAATTCCTCCATGTCATCACTGGACAGAGAGAAACGATCCGGATCAGTAAAGCTGTATGTGGGAAACATCAGAGCGCCAGGAACGTTAGTATGAGAAAGACCCAAAGAGTGACCAAACTCATGTGCGGCCACCAAGAACAGGACATGACCTGTGGAGAAATTAAGCAGAATAGTTTAGGTACAAATGAAAAAGATTAATTGCCACTTTAGATTTTTTTACTTGAAATTAAAGTGGTGTCAAAGTTGAAACTTTGAAAAATATTTCAGCAAAATAATTTCACCTTTTGATGAGCCCAAGGTGAAAAACTCATCATCATCGAAATGTGCATCTCCACCGATTCCAGTAGAAGGAGCAAAAGCATGAGCCAAAGTGCCTTGTGGTCCATCAAATGGCTGAGCATCGCCATGATCTGTAGGAAAGAGTTTAGTTGACTTCTTCTCTCCTTACATTCATATATAGGTGAAACGTTGAGAATCTGTATTTTAAAAATACTGAATTGTTGTGCATTGAATTGAGTTGAACGGTTCTGAATCTAATCGGGACTTGCTTTTAACATGTATATTGCCAAAATACCAAGTTTAAATTTAGTTCAAAAGAATTCATCAAAATGAAAAGCACATGGTTGTTAAAATAGGAATATAGATAAATTGATAGATGTATCTTACCCCTTGTAGCAAAGGAGATCATGATGTCAGCTGTGCCGTTGTTGATACGAGTGAATCTCAGAGGAGTGACATTGGCCCAGACCTGCAGGGCTTTCTTTATGGATTTATCCACTTCAGCATTTGACATGTCAGGGGTATAGTTCACGATTCTGTGAAAAAGGACCATAATGTGTATCTGCTTCTTTCACTCTTTCTTTTTCCAGTCATGCAAAGAGAACTGCTATTACACACACCTGTAGGTGAGCTTGTTGGTCTGCCATTTGGGTTTGCCTCCAAATGTGGAGTACGCAGCAACATCTGGAACTCCACAGCGGGGCTTCTTCATCACCTTCAGTGTTTTTTTGTCCAGCTTTCCGGTGACCTTAAGCCCGAAAAACTTCTGCATCTCTTTCAATGTATTGGGTAGTGGATCAGGATCTGGCTGCTTGGCTGTGGGATTTGGTCCATATGACTTTTAAGCTCTTCTGAAACCATATGATATTTTTGTGAGGAAGAGACAGAAATGTATGTCAGTAATTCAACATCAAGTGGGACGCCCGCTGTGTGCAGAACTGCAGAAACAGAAGTTTCTGCCTCCAGAAGTTACTGTTTCACTTTTACACTTTACAGACATTAAAAAACTAAAAAATGCATAAGCACTATAAAACTATCG